ATCCAGCACACAAACCAACTCCAGCCTTGCTGTATATAGAATTTTTTTTTGCATGAGCTTCCACTGCCCAGGTCAATGGCAAACAGCTGGTTAGCATGATTAAGCCAAGAGAGGAAAGTGCATCTCTCCCAAACCTAATTTTCTATGGTCCTACAAAGAGTGAACAGACAGCTCCTGCCGGTTCATATTCCAGTTTATTTTACACTGTCCTTCCAACAGAGACATCTTCTAGAACAGCAAACTGAGCAGGCATTAAACTGCCTAGTCCTTAGAACAGGACATGCCTCTTCACTGCCAGGATTATTAAAACCCACCTCCTGCCCCATAGGACTGATCTCTCCTCCATTGCTCTTTGCATTAAATCTTACGCTTGGTGACTTCATCTGCATTGTATTTCTGTCACCTAAATTGCAGACTCGTTACTGCTGATTTTGTAAAATAGCTTTTCTGTAAGCTACAGCATAGCTAACCAAAATCTCACAAGCAAATTACCATAAATATCAGGTCTGCACTCCAGCCCCACAGCTGGGATCTATTGCCGACTTACAAATTCACATAGACAATACATGGCATTAATCGGAGGGGAAAGAAGCGGGAAGAGCTGTAGCTAGCTTGTTAATGGACCCTTTGGGAATAAGTTTTGAAGTCAGAAAAAGTTCATTACCATTTCAGGCCAGTTGCTGTTATCAATTCCTTCTCTTCAGCCATTTCAGTTTCATCCTCAAGAACATGCTCTGTGTAGACAGTCCGTAGTTTCAGACAGCATATGAACCCCCCGGGCTGAATTAGGTTTTCAGGCACATCTGGGGAAACGTATTCATTCTGGCATAGTTGGATTTCTTGGTATCTCTGAGGAGAGGCTCTCTTCATCTCTGAACTGGGAAGGTGAGTGAACTGCCTGGTGTCTTCCACTGCTTCTACCCAGATCTTCAGATGGTTTCCTACCGATCCCATCTCCTACCACATTTGTATTTAGGGGAAAGTTGTCCTATTTTTGCACTTTGCCTTTTCAACTTGACATCAGAATAATGCCAGCGCTGGTGACACACAGCCACATGACAGAGGAAATTCTGAGTTTAGGTTATTGTGGCATGACTCACTGTCTGTGCTTACCTAATACTAAAAATACCTGGTAAAAATTTTCCCCGCTCACTTCTTCTGGACAAAAGGTTCTGATGCCTCGTCTAACGCTGCTCTGCCAACTCAGACATGCAAGAGAAGTAGGCAGGACAGCTTCATAAATCCTAATACTTTCAGCACATCTACGGTGAGCAGTTTTGTGTTGGGTCAGTAACATATTTGAATGGGAAACCTCAGGGAAGAAACCTAAGCACTGAAAGAGCCGATGGTGATTTAACTAGTGGGTTTTGCCCCGGTGTGCTGGCCTTTATAAGATTTATATTTTCGTATCATACCAACCCAAATGAATTGACACACTATTTCTGGATCTGGTGCAAAATGGCAAAAACCCCCCGAAGTTAATCTCCCCTAATTTAGTCAAGGAGTAAATCTACACAGCCATTCCTTAGTTTCCTGGCTTCTCATCCCTTGACTCTTTTATCACCCACATTAAAGGGTTGTTGACTTTTTAGGGACAAACCATGCAGTTTCCTTGGGCACAATGATTGAAGTTCTAGGGATAAATTGTTCCAGAGGTCAATATGATCCATACCTCACCTCTGCTTCCCCTCTGCACAGTCTTCCCACACTATCCTGAGAGGTCCGATGCCTTGAAGGACCCTCACACACCTATATGCTACCACCCATGGACTCAGCAGCTTTGGGGGATACTTATTCTTCCTTGATGGGAGTTTGAGTACAGCAATTAGCCTGAACCTGTGGTGCTGTTAAATGTCAAAGCACTGGGAGCTCTTCTGTGTTCGATGGCCAGACTACAGCTTCCATTCTCAGACAGACTTCACTGAGTGTGTAGCCCTTATCATGTGTTATTGTCACACCTACTGTCACAATGCCTGGACCCTGACTGATAGCTAGGACTCGTTAGACATGGTACCAATAGGTGACAGAGGAAGTTTAGGATCCCAGTGTAAGGCAAGAAAGTACAGAGGTAATACTGATCAGCATGTTGGGTGCCTACATGCGCTTGAAAGATGGTTTGAAGACCACTTAAAGAAAAGCACCTCTGAAGATACATAGGATAGTTAAAGGCAGTGAAGAGGAACAATGGCAATGGGTATCTTGAAATGCCCATATTAATCCACGGCTCCTCCCAGTGTGAACACTGGTACAACAAGAAACCCCCAAACTGATGACTTTGATACCCAACATAGTGAGAAGGTCTAGCATGGGAAAAGAAGAGAGTGTTTTGAAAGGTTATGATGATTGATAAGGAGAAGGTTCTTGAAAATGGGAGCAAAATATTTGACGTGACAGTGAAGCAGTTAGAAGTCAACAGAGGGAAGCAAACAGAAGGTCACAATGAGACCTAGGAAATTCATCCTTCCAAGTGCTTACTGGATCAGAGACAGGAATATGGTTGTAAAGGCCCAAGAAGTAGATTCAGTAGTAGTTTAGAAGACAAGAATTCGAATTATGTGGATGAATTAAAAGGATGGATCCTAGGAATGTTGCTTGAGATCCAGGTGCAATGTGGATGAGTTGATCCAAGAGCACCAGCCTGATGGGCTTGCTGTCACTTGTGTGCACCATTTCTGCACAATCCTTATCTGACGCGTGCAAGTTCAGAAGAACCCTAACTTCATTTGATCGATCCAGGTGCAATGTGGATGAGTTGATCCAAGAGCACCAGCCTGATGGGTAGTGCTTGCTGTCACTTGTGTGCACCGTTTCTGCACAATCCTTATCTGACGTGTGCAAGTTCAGAAGAACCCTAACTTCATTTGATCATCAATTAAAACAATGGTTGTCCTTTATGATGAGTAGGCTAAATGCTGTGGGTTTTCTTAAGAAGAGACTAAAGATTTGTAGGTTTGAGTGCCTTGTGCTGAGATTCAGATCTGCAGTCTGCTTCAAAGAGGCTTTTGAAGTCTTGAGGGAAGCATGCTTTTAGCTTTCAGGGAAAGTGAGAGTACATGATCTCAACTTGCTGCTAATCTGATAACTCTTTAATTTTAATCACCCTGACAGTCTGTGGTAAACCATGTGGTTAACTATTTCAGGTACAGTCGCTTCTCTCGAAGCCACAGTCTGATGGAGTTTACAAGGCGAATCCTTTGATAACACAAAGGTACAAGGGGATTAACGTGTCCCTTACACAGCTCAGCTGTTAAGCCACTCACAATACTTTTCATTGTTGCCCTTCTCGGACTTTGTGACTTTTACTAAGTGGCAAGACACAAAACGTGCAGAAAATATCAAAGCGAGAAGACGATGGGTGGCTCTGAAAGAAAAGGGCATTGCAGGGCTGGGTCGGGGAGTCGCTGATGGGGTTGCTGTCAGCAGAGCATGGCTTTGTTTCAAGGAGAAGGCATTTGGGGAGTCAAGGGCAGACAAGTGATGAACAACTACCAGGGATTCAAGGCCCTTTTGTAATCATTCTTGCTGGTTGCTAAGGCTGCATTAATTATGGCTGCAGAACATGTGAAGACACGATGACTAAGAAATTTTACTCATAATCAGTGTTACTATTATGCATAAGCATAAAGGGCCACGGATCATGCACCCAAAGATCCTGAATGCCAGCCTGATGCAACCGGCCTGTTTTGTATTTGAATCTCTCAGCCTTTAGGCCTTAAAAAATCATTAAGTAGTGCCTTTATCAACTCCTGGGCCTCCAGCTCAGCTTCAGTGGTCTTTTCAAGTGCACTGAAACGATCTAACCTAATTCATTCCAACTGATTAAGAAGTATATTTAGATGTGATTTGCTGATGACAAAGCACTTCACGTCCTTGTTTTGGGACAAGTTATATTTAGGTTTGCAAACTTATTTCACAGTAAGTTGCTCTTTGGTGTGCTGAGACAGAACGGAGACTCTACTCCCCTTTGCAATGTTTGCTTAGAGATGATTGCAATTGTTAATGACTTAGTTTTGCTTATTGTGCCTCACTGGTGCAGGCAGCATCTCTGTGATATGATCATGTACAGCTTCATTAAGGAAGTGTTGGTAGCCTTTCATGTTGCCCACCTGCTGGGTGCAGAATGAAAGGGCTCAACCACCCGCCTCGAGCAGTGGGGGCAGATAGTCCTGCTGCCTCCCACCACCACTCCCAGCTGCTGCAGAACATCCTTGCTCCAGCATCCTTTCTCCTCTAGAAGAAAGACAAGGGAGTCGAATCAGCCCTGCCTAACTAAAAAGTGTAGACTAATACAAGGGCCTGTAGTGACAGGACAAGGGGTAACGGGTTTAAATTGAAAGCAGGGAGGTTTAGATTAGATATCAGGAAGAAATTCTTCCCGAAGAGGGTGGGCAGGCACTGCGACAGGAAGTTGTGGATGCCCCATCCCTGGGAGTGTTAAAGGCCAGGCTGGATGAGGCTTTGAGCAACCTGGTCTAGTGGAAGGTGTCCCTGCCCATGGCAGGGGGGTTGGAACTAGGTGGTCTTTAAGGCCCCTTCCAACCCAAACCATTCTGTGATTCTATCAAATACAGGCTTCATGTCACTTGTTGGAGGCACTCCCAAGGGATTTTTCGGTATCCTGAACAAATCTATACTTATAAAATCAATGACAACAACTAGCTCAAATGTGATTAAGGCTTTGGAGGGCAGGTTTGTTCTACAATTAAAATAAAAAAACATTCACTTAAAGATTAATAGTTTTGCCAGACACTCAGAGCCTCTCCTTGGCTCAGAGACAATCAAAGATACAAAGCTTTGCTACCCTCATGTTCCCTTCACAACATCCAGTTTTATCCCTCAGCTGCAATTTTAGCCCTGTGACTGGGAGCAGAATTAGACCGCAGATACTTAACTGAGGTCTGGGGATAATCTTGTGTTGATAAGACAGAAAGATGTGGGAAGTCCTCGGTGAATAAGGCAGATGCACGGGCTGTCCTCATTCTTAGGCTTTCTGTTTGCAGAAGAATGCCCAGCTCTTCCAAGGATTGACTTTGCTGATGTTGCTGCTGAATCGTATCCACTGGGGACCAAATTGTATTATAAATGTGATGAAGGATACAAGAGGAGGAGCGGCCATTACTTGGCAATTCGGTGTCAGCGTATACATGGGGTTGTTTCTTGGGTCTACAAAAAATTAGAATGTGTTGGTAAGTGATTATTCTCCTTTTTCTACACTTTCAGAGCTGTTTTTCCAATCTGGGCATTGCTTTAACAAACAATCTTCTGCACTTATCTTTGCAAATCAAAACTTGCAACAATTCTGTCCTGCCTCTAAAAGCTTGGTGTTCTGGCTTTGCTCTGCTTTTTGTCTTGCTGTGATTCAGCAAATGCAACTTCTCCCACAGATGAGAAAATTTTGTTGTCAATGGCTCCCACGATGGAATTAAATTTTACACAGAAGCCAGAAAGCAAAAGACAGAGCTCGGCACCCCAGAACCCAGGAAACATTTCAGAGTTTGACCAGAAAGGTAAGTAAGAGCCCGCTCATTACTGTAACTCTTCTTCCACTGATTTCCATGGAAGAAGTGTAAGAATGATGATGAGTAATTATTTTGACAGTCAGAGAAAAACAATTGCTATAACACCTGGCTGAACAAGTCATATGGTGTAAGCAAATGAGGACTTTATATCCTAACAGAGAATTAGAAAGGCTTGGTATACCCTACTTGCTTATACATTGTAAGTGTACAAATAATGTTGTTTCAAGAACAAAAGGAGCGAGTAAAAACCTCTCTGCTTAACTGTGTGCTGCCTTGTGATCCCACAGATTTTTGTGGTCCTCCCAAGACTATTCCACATGCCTCTTTAAGCCTGAACAAACAGTATTATGTGGGGCAAGTATTACATTTCAAATGTCAGAGTGGTTTTGATAAGCGACCCCCCACCTCTGGTACCCGCACATGCAAGAAGGTGAATGGCCAAATCAACTGGACGCCCCTTAACATGCAATGCACCAATGACAGCAGCTATAGCTATGAGAGGCCTCCACAGACTGTTGAGCCAGGTAAGATGGTTGCTTTGGATTCACATTGGTGTCATGACCTGTTTGGGCAGGGTCCAGACCTTGCAACTCAGCACATCAATCCTAGGAACCAGCCTGCTTGGGGTTTGGGGTGGAGAGATCAGCAAACCCAGGGCTCTGACACCAACAGGGATGTCATCTTTGACTGATGGAGATGACATGTCTGGGAAGTACGTATCATAGAATAGAATCATAGAATGGTTTGGGTTGAAAGGGACCTTAAAGATCATCTAGTTCCAACCCCCCTGCCATGGGCAGGGACACCTTCCACTAGACCAGGTTGCTCAAAGCCTCATCCAGCCTGGCCTTGAACACTTCCAGGGATGGGGCATCCACAGCTTCCTGTTCCAGTGCCTCCCCACCCTCTCCAGGAAGAACTTCTTCCTGATATCTAATCTAACCCGCCCCACTTCCAATTTAAACCCGTTACCACTTTTCCTGTCACAGCAGGCCCTTGTAAAAAGTCTCCCCCAGCTTCCTTGTAGCCCCTTCAGGTACTGGAAGGTGCTATAAGGGCTCCCTGGAGCCTTCTCTTCTTCAGGCTGAACAAGCCCAACTCTCTCAGCCTGTCCCCATAGCAGAGGTGCTCCAGCCCTCTGAGCATCTCCGTGGCCTCCTCTGGAGTCGCTCCAACCAGTCTATATCCTTCTGATGTTGAGGGCTCCACAGCTGGACACAGCACTCCAGGCGGGGTCTCACCAGAGCAGAGTACAGGGGCAGAATCCCCTCCCTCGACCTGCTGGCCACACTTCTCCGGATACAGCCCAGGACATAGCTGCATCCTGTTTTGTCTTGGGTGTCCTTTCAGGCTAACTGCAAATTTGCAGGAACGTGTGAGCAGACAGAGCCACACTGTCATAAACTGGGAAGAAAATAGTAGAATAACCCTTTCTCTTTCTCCTTCCTCCTGGCAGCTATAGGCCATCTATTGTGACTTGACAGTAAGGTACTCCAAAAGGTATATCTAAGCATCCCTCATGATTGCTCAGGGTTTTAGGATCCAGAGTTTAGCTAGTCCACAGCCAAACCTGAGCAGTATGGCTCAGTTAGTATTTTAACACCCAGGACACTGTTTTGAACACAGACACGTCAAGAAGCCCATCCATAGTGCTCTACAGTCTTTATGGACCCAGATCCAGCAGGTCACGCATCACTACGGTCTGGCATCTCGAGTTTCACTGCTCAGGGAGCCAGCAGAGCTCTCAAGTGAGGCTACACCTCTGCCTCTTGCTTTTATGCCTTTACGTGTGTTAATGCAAAAAAACTCCAAAGGCCTTCATGGCCTCTATTCCACCCAAATTACCTACCTCTTCTGATGGGATCTCTCCTAACTCTGCAATGAGTTCAGTGTGCAGAGACAAAACAGACCCCCTTTCCCAAGCGTCTGTGATAGCACTGAGGGTTTGGGGCTCTCTGTGGGTGTCAGGCAGATCTATTGAAGGTGGAAGGACTCAGCTGTCCGTCACCTCTACCTCCTCTGAGGCAGGGGAGTGTGATGGGCTGATTTTCAAAGAGGTGGGAGCAAATACAACATGAGGGGACTTCCAGCAACAGAGAGTGGAAAAAACATGGTGTTCACCAGTACTTGGGCCTTTAAAGGGAAATTAATTTTGCAAAACTGTGGACGTCGAATGCACAGACACCCACATCTGAGTTGGACTGCCTTTATAATTGGCAGAGGGGAATAGGTGTTGATGGTGCTGAGCTAGCTGCCCTATTTCATGTCTATTTTAGCGTGAGATGAATTGCACCTTTTAAAGGCTTGTTTCTCCCCAGTGGCTATAGCAGAGCCCCGATGACTATCTCAGAGGCCACGTCCACGTAACGGTAGGTCAGATGGATGCCAGCCATGACCCATGCCAGGCCAAGTGGTAGAGCAGGATGGTTTGGGCAGGCCATTTTGCCTGCAGAGAGACCGTTCAGGTGACACTCGGCCATCGCTGCCTCTCGTTGCTGCTCTGACTGTACGAATGAATCACCTTTCTCACTGGACACACTATTTTGGTATTGACCCACGACTTTCTCCCCTTCTTCACAGATCTGACTGTTTCCCTGTGGTGCCCTGTTCAGAGTGTTCAAGGTATGGCAGGCACAATTTGTTGTTTGGTCCTCCTTTCTCCTTTAGAACATATATTTTTTTTTCCCATTGATAATTTCACTTGGCACTATCAGGATGAAGGAATGTCTTGCTATGATGGAAATAACCTATCAACATAACAGTCCTAGAAAATGATACAACCTATTGAATAGCCAGAGATAACAAATATTTGAAATTTTAAAATTAGGATTGTGGAAAACACAAGACTAGATGATGAAATAGTCCACTTCGGCCTTTAATTCAACACAACAGTAACTCCAGTTTCCTACAAAAGTACACTCAGGCCTGAGCAAGGTCAGGTCTTTGTAATTAATGCACTAAATATTTACTCCCCAAAGTGTTGCCTCCCTCTTTTTTATGACGGGATGTCTTTAATGGGGCTAGATAAAGAATCTCCTCCGCTTTCTCAGTTCTCCTCCCAGCATTCAGCATAAAGAGGCTTATCAAGAGGTCACTCTCACAGGATCTCTTGTTAAAAAACAGCACACATCTCATACTGGCTCAAATTCAGAGCTTCCTCTTCAGTATGAGGGAGAAATTCAATTAACTCCTTGCACTGGGGAAATTTTGGGCTACATTTCTAGGGAAAAAAAAAAAAGGTCCTGTTTGAAGCCATGTTTTCAAATCCTATCTTGTCAACTTGAAACTCATCCTTCCCATGCTCATATGAAATAAAGATCTTAGCTGGGTCCCATTCCCTGGAAGATACAGCTCACTTCATGCCCATCATTAACAGGTATCAGATTAGCACGTATGTTGATACCCAGGCTGGAAACATCTACTGATGGTCAAGAAACAAACGTGGCATTAATTGTGTTCTGTGCAGAGGGAGAGCTGTCAGACTCTACCCTCATCATTGCTTCGATGCTGGAACAAGCTGGCTCTTCACCAGAAGAGCAAATCGACCCAAAATCAAGTATTTCTCTCTTTTTGTAGGTTCGACTCATCCATCCTTCTCCTCATCGGTGATACTGCCAGTGACAGGTATGCTACTTCGTTAATTGGACTCAGACTTCACCCCAATCCCCCAGAGCAGTTACTTTGCTTTTCAATTTGCTGTTCTATCCAAGAGATCCATCTCTGTTGTAAGAGCGAATAAATACACTGCAAGACACATCTATGCCCATGTACTGGGTGAAATGTCAGTAAAGATAGTGTAAATAGAGACTGTTCAAGCACTTAACCTTTTTATAATGAGGTTTTATAAGGCTCATAAGGGAAGCAAAAGAAAACAGACCAATCAAAAGTCTAGTTTTTAAATGAGGCAATTTTCAGATTCTTTCTCTGGGACTTTGTGAATTCAGTGAATAATTTCAACTGGAAAATATAAACGAAGGAAAAATGTAAATATTTAAATGATGTGGTTTTTTCAGATTTTCAAAGGAGTAAAAAGAGAATGAGCAAATAAAATATTTCTCACAGCTAAACTGATGTATTTAGATCAGTCTGAAGAGATTTTCTTCTCCCCCTTCCCCATCTTCCATCCAACCATTAGCTGCTAAAATAGGAATTGTCTCTTACTGTGCATATGCTCAAGACTTTTTCAAGGACTCCTGATTCCAGCTGGAGTCTGCTGACAACTGTAGCGCCCATTATAATAAGGAGGAAAAATGGTGTGAGATGCAGAAAGGGAAGGGGTGTTGCAAACTATGCCAGGGGCCGCAGCATCAGTAGCCCCTTGCTATTTGGCTGTGGTTGCCCCCTAGTTGTCCAGCTCCTCTCTGGCTGGGTCTTGTTTGCCCCAAGGAGCAAAGCAATGGGGCAGTATGGAAGAACTATTGCCTCTGGGCACAGGGACAAGATAAGCCCCTATCCCAGGTCTTGCCTGTTTCTCCCAGTTGGAATAATGGCAATAATTACAGATAAAACCAGGTACTAACTGTGATGATTTTCACTTTTAACAGCTATATTTTTTGTTCTGCTTATCATTCCCGCTGTCCTTGTGTGACTCACCAGGAAGAGAATGCGGTAAGTGGGACGGACACAGGAAAATGAGAAATCTTAAAAAACCCCGTCCCTAACACTGGAAGAGACCATACCAACCATCTCACTATTGCACTACTTAGATTTCTGAATACCTTCTTTGGTGTTAAATAAATGACCCTGGATTTTGGGTTGTCTGGTTCAGCTATTAAATACTGGCACAAGAAAAGGAGGAATCAGAGCTTTTGAGATCAAAACCCACGCCTTGTCCCAGCCATTGTGGAACTGCGAATGGCAGTTCAAATAATGGGTGGAAAACGAATCCCATGGGGAAATTAAGGTTAATTATGCAAAAATGTTGATTTCAGATAGGTTACACAATCAGTCTTTTTCTTTCTGGCTAACCTGTGGGAAGTCTGGTGGAGCAGCTGCCACCACGACCACGTGATTCTTCTTCCTTCATCCCCCTGATTTCTCAGTCGTGTCACGACAACTTTGTACTTCAGACTTATTTTAGTCTGGCCTCCTCGCTGTTTCTACTGCGACACCGAGATGCACAGAGGCTGTTCCTGTTCACAGGCTCCCCAGCCTAGTTAATCCAAGATGTCCCTATTTGACACTTGGGAGTTCTCCTTGTCTACTCTTTCTTTGCTAATCTTCATTCCCATTTCTCTTCTTGTTCCTTCCTAATTACTGGTGGGCTCTGGTTGTCTGGTGAACGGGCATTTTTCTCAAAAAGGAGAAGGACCTTGTGAAACCACATCAGCGGTGATTTTTTTTGCCAGTTCATGATAGGATAAAGCAGTGGAAAGTGCAGACAACGTTTTGAAACATGGTTTAGCAGAGATGGTCAGCTGTGGTGCAGCTTGCCTGGACCTTTGTGGGATTTCTGAGATTATGATAGGTGAAAAATTGGCAAGAACAATCCACATTTCACTGACCCTGTAGTGGAACAAGGGATGAAATAGCTGATACCAGATGAAATAGTAATGGAGATCCTAAGTGGTGTCTTCAAAAAGTACTGTGTGCTTTCTCACAGTAAATATAGAAGCTGCCATAGAAAACCTGCCTCTTTCCAGCTGTAGTAAAGTCTTTTTCCTGTTGTAGAGAGGAGTTCTCAGGGAATTGCGACATTCAGACCCAAACTCATTAAATCGATGCCTTGCCACAGAAGAAACCAGACTGTGCCAGCAACTCCAAGACCAGCAGTGGCAAACGAGGAGAAAACTTGGACATTCAAACCTAACGTGTAAAGGAGGCAGAAAATAATGGCTTAATTCTTATGGGGACAGAGTAACTTTCCACCTACAGAGTCCGGATGGAGGGAGAGCACCCCACCATTGACAGATGGGGAAAGAGCCCTGCCTGAAACTGCTTCCCAGAAACACTTCTCCTCCTCCTACCATACAGCAGATGCATTGCTAATATAACTGCAGCCTCTCCCAAGCGACCAGGCGTACACATGGGCCGCTCGCCCAAGCACGTTAGATGATGGCACCGTCATTACAGCCCACACACCACCTTTCCCACGGAGAGATGCTGGACACCTGATGTCCCCCCATCCCTACCCAACCCAGACAGGTCAAATGTGGTTACGCTTTTCTCCTCCTCAATCTGCTCCTCTTGGAAAAGGAAATTAAACCCCTTTACCCTCTGCCCATAAGCTGAAAATCTTACTGGACCCCTTCATGGTTCAGCACACAAATGCATTTTTCATCACCTCCCTCTTCCCAAATATTTTGGACCAGCCCCTTCCAGAACAGTTACTACATTTCTCCAGCTCAGAGAAGGATGCTGCAGATTGTGGCAGTTAATTAATTTGACAGCTCCTTTCGTAGCTGCAGAGCATCGAAGAACCTAGCACAAGGGCATTTGAGGACAGACTGAAGCTTACACGATACTTGACATGTACTTATATTATAGGGAATTTGTGAAGTTTCGATAGTCTTCTGCCACTTTTTAGTCATGTTCAGCCTGGTAGGGTGGGGTTCATCTGAAAAAATGCAGCATCTATGTCTCACAATGGGAAGGAATCATAGAATTGTAGAATGGTTTGGGTTGGAAGGGACCTTACAGATCATCTAGTTCCAACCCCTCTGCCATGGGCAGGGACACCTTCCATAGACCAGGTTGCTCAAAGCCTCATCCAGCCTGGCCTTGGACACTTCCAGGGATGGGGCATCCACAACATCTCTGGGCAACCTGTTCTAGTGCTAAAAGAACTCCCTTCAGAGAGCAGTTCATCTCACCCTATGCCCTATATATATATGTATATGTGCATATTTATTTATTAATGCCATATCTATATACAGGCTAAAGACTCACAGTCTAAAGGGACCTGTTTCTCTGCATTGACTCTAAATGATGCCCAGATTAACTATAGATGCTTACGTGGCATATGTCAAAAGCGAAATGGGATGAGCCCCTTCCTCATAATTCAGGAGGCATGGGATCTTAGCGTAGTTTTCTATGTTGTGATAATGTAATTGATTTACCGGTTTGTATTTCTGTTGAGGTATTCTCACTCCATACCCTTGATATTTCTATCCTCCTTGGCTCTTTTATTCCTGTTGGAATAGGACTTACTTGTACTATGTATCTTTATAAAGATGGATATGTAATGGGCTATCACATGCTGTTATTTTGTATGGCAGCAAACAATAATCTGTATTTATGCCAGAGGTGACAGGTCTTCACACCTCTCAGCGGCTATGAGGGCTGCAAGCAGTGGTACTAAGCTCTTCTGCTCCGTTCAGTCAGCACAGGTTACTCATCGCTAACACGCCTCTGCTACGTGCTGCAGTTGGGCTGGCATGGCTTGTCCTGCTTGGGGTGTTTCGCTGGAGAAGATGAACATTTCATGTGCTCCTTGCATGCTCGTTTTTATGCAGAAAACACGAGCAGAGTCGTATGTCCCCTACTGCTCCAGTGGATGTTCTACCTTCCCTACCCAGCTTGGCAGGGGCTCTCCACATTTTGTCTATGCTTCTTGGAAATTAAGGGAGACACACTGCTGGTAAGGGACTTGTAAGCAATAGTGGGTTGTTATGGACTGGAAAACTATTATGGGATTTAATTTTCCTAGCTATTAATGTCTACACAGAGTGTCTGAACGCAGGGCACCTCCAGCATGGGAGCTGCGTATGTACTTTACCAGGAATCTGATTCTCAGTTGAGCTGAACTTTACCTCTTGGTAGGGTAAAGTACATTTCCCTCTGCGGAAATGTTTGTAAAGGCTTGATCCTTCAGCACAACAGCAGAGAGCACGTGGAAACCAGCAGGACCCATCCTGGGGAGCGAAACACCGCCCCTGGAAGAGGCTGTGGCCAAAGGATACTGCCACTGTCGTGCTTTCTCCCTGGCCACTCTCGCCAGTTTTCCATGAGATGTGGTGGTTGGTATTTTATTTTGTAGCCTTTGATTTTCTAAGCATGGAATAACTAGTAAACTGTAACAATAAATTGTTCTGGATGTTCGAAAGGCAGCTTGTACTTCTTGTTATTGATCTAAACTTGGAAAAATACAGGATGTATTTTCTGTTACCCTGTGATTTTAACAAAAGATATGACAAACGCAGCAACGTATCACGGGAAGGTTTACTCTAGAGGCCTGTGCTAAAGCTCGCATCACACGTGTACTACCACACCTAACCTTTAAAATGCAGAAGACTAAAAATATTTGGGCAGGAGGATCTCCATCAATGCTGCCTCCAAAACAGGTAATGGAAGCAGTTAATAGATTTCTACAGTCTGAGGGCAGTGGAGCTCCCTTACCCCTGACCCCCACCAAGGGTCGGGAATACAGACTGTGTGTATTGGCCAGGAACCCAAGTGTGAGAAAAGGTGTTTGTCCAGAAGCCTGTGGTGTAAGAGTCAGCCTGCACGTTGCGATGCAACACCATATGTACCTTCACAGGCGTGTGTCCACGTGAGCTGGTCCCATCCTGTGGCAACAAGAGGAGTCTAGAGAGACTCTGCTATCGCACGCAGGTGTCCACCCAGGCCGCAGAGTTGTCCAGACCCCATGGAGAGCACCAACTACGTGTCCATTAACTACTGGGAGCTCAGGGAGCAGCTCACAGGGAAACACCTACACATGGATATGGTTGCCCAAGGACAGGTATCTGACATGACCTGAGACACCCCGAGGTGTCAGAGACATCTACACGGGGCTGGAAGCTACAGCGCAGGACCCACGGGAGGCCTGTCCTCTGCACTGGTAGCTGGAAGCCAAGCAGCATGATTTGTTTGTGCCCAGCCTGCAGAATTACCCCCACGTAAACACCCTCTACAAGGTGTCCCAAAAAATGAGTCAGATCCCAGCCCCACCAGTCATCAAGAGCTGCAGAATTTGCCACTCACATCTAAATGCGGAAGAAACCTGATAAAAAACACTTGCTGCCATCCTAAGACAAAATAACTTCTTCAGTTTAAATTTAAGCATGTTTTTTGGTTGCAGTGACAAATAAAACCCAGTCAAAGGTCGGGAGGTCACGCACGGGTACCGTTCAGTGGCCGAAACCAGCCCGTGCCTTACCCAGTTTAGGCAGTAGATTTAAGGCAAGGCTGAGAGAGTGCAAGGAGGCGGTGAAACAGCACAGATCTCCCCTCGGTGACAGCCTTAACACTGCAGCTGCCTACACATTTCCTGGGTTCTGTTTTGCTTTTTTCCATAGGAATAACGACGTGGCAGGCAAATACGTGCTCACCTGGAGAGTATAAAGGCAGGTGAGCAAAGACTTCAGAGCTCCAGCAAGCACCAGCTCCACCAGTCATTTCCAGGCCTCTAATCCTCTTAATTATTTTCTCCCCCAGTCTTTCTGCAGAAGAAATTCAGGGAAGATATTCCCTAGCTAGATGTAATTTTTAAAGTTTCAGGGCAGAGCGGTGCTTCTCCAGGGCTTGGGCTCTGGCAGCGCTGCTGCCTAAATGGTTTGGGCCTTCTGCAAGAAATGAAACTGGGTCTTCTACCCCGCCAACAGCTTCCACCTTCACCCATCTTCCTAACACAGACCCTGCAACCGC